CCTGTGACGTCATCTTCATGAGGCTGCTGAGCTCGTCCACCGCGGCCATGGGGCTCCCCCCAGACGTCAGTGCCCCCGTAATCCGCGGCATCCTCGGCAGCAGGCTGGCCGCTTGTACCTCCGCAGGGCCGCCGCCGCTCGGCGGCCCCTGCCCCGCGCCGGCCCCGCCGCCGCCCCTGGCCACCGTGGACCACTGGCTGTTTGGCGCCAAGCTCTGGAGGGACGACAAAGGGGAGCCGACGGTCATGGGGACGCCGCCCAGCCCGGACTGGTAGGCGCCCAGTCCGTAGCCCGACCGGACTGCCTGCTGCCCCGCCGCCGGTTGCTGCATGTACTGGCCGCCCGGCCCGATTGCGGCCGCGGCCATGCCGTCGGGGCCGCCGGCGGCGGTCGTACCGAACGGGAGGGGCAGCATCTGCGGCGGCGCCGGCGCGACGCGCCTGATGATAGTCGCGGCCGGCGGCATCGTCCAGCCGCCAGGCACCTGGGCGGCGACCGGCTGGTACGCCATCACCATTGGTGGCGGCGGCGGCGGCGGCGCCGGCGGTGGCGGCGACGGCGGGGGGGGCGGCGGCGGCGGGGACGGCGGCGGAGGCGGCGGGCTCGGCCACGCGATGTGAATGTCGGCGGCCGCGCTGCCCTCGCCGCCCATGCTGTCCTTTACTACCAAAGCTGCCCGGTAATCGCCCGGCGTGCTGATGCTGAACGACGGCGCGGCGTCGCTGAACACGGCCAGCGCGTCCGAGGATCCCGCCTTTGAGATCGTCCAAGAGAATGTCATCGGGTCGCCGTCGGAGTCCGCAGTCTTGGAGCCGGTGATCTGGACCGGCTGACCTGGCGCGGCGGAGTAAGGGCCGCCCGCGTTGGCGTCTGGCGGACTGTTGACCTGGACAGACAGAAGCTTTTGGGTCGAGTGTGTGCCGCCGCCGCCAAAACCTTGGACTTGCAGGCTGATAAGGTAATCCCCCGGCGGGAACTCATGCTCAAATTCCGCGGGCTGCCCCTGGGCTGGCAGTCCGAGGTCGATCTGCTGCATGTAGGGCTTAGTCTGAGTGACGCTCCACTGGAAGCTGCCCGCGTTGAGGCTGCTCGCGCCGCTGACAGCCACCAGCGGCGACTCCCCCGCACGCGCGCGCACAACGCCGCCGTTAGGCAGCGTGATCGTCGCGCGCGGGCGCGCCGACGGCGGCGGCGCCGCGTACAGCGCCGCGGCGGCAGCCTCAGGGTCCCCTGAGAAGACGCTGCTCACGGTCACCATGCCGCCCCCCGGCCCCGCCGACGACGGCAGCGCCGGCGCGACCTCCAGCCGCGCCGCCGCCCGCGCCGTCGCGCCGCGCGCGTCCCACGTGGTCAGCGCGGCCGTGTAGCTCCCGGCGCCGGGCGCCTTGAGCGTCGGCGCGAGGCCCTCGGCCTTTGCGACAACGAGGTTCGGCTTTCCCAAGGGCGTGACGCGCCAGACGCTCGCCACGATCGGGACGAACGCGATCGCTGACGAGGCAGTGCCCGCCAGGTTCAGGTCGCCGCCGGCAAACTGCTCGGGGGCGGTTCGTTATCCGGTTGTGGACTGGTGAACGCCAGGGTCAGCGGTCTGTGCAGGCAGACGCTTCGACCCGCGAGCACGAAGTGTTCTTCAGGCTTCCCCTATTTCCAAGCAGCTGCGATGCATTCTGGCACCAAGGAGGCGACCGCTGCCCAGCCGTCCACTCACCACCCCCGCCCCGCAGCACCCCTCGAGATTTGCAGGCCGACGCGTCCGCCAAGCAGCCCATGCCGACGTCGCCCGCCCTGATAGGCACACTAGCAGCCCCCAGCCGCCACCCACCAGCCCCTGCTGCCGCTACCCGCCCCAGGCACCAGCGGGACGTTGTTTTTTTCCAGTGCACATCTGCTCACCGAGTTGTAAGGGCCCCCAGCGTCCACCACCGGCGGCGGCGTCAGCACGAGGGACCCTGTTTTCAAAAGGATGGCCGAGTCAACGTTCGGGTCCCCCGCGTCGGCCACGCCAATGCGCAGGGTATAGGCGCCGCCTGCCTGGACGGGGTAGCCGCTGGAGGGCAGCAGCTGCAAGGGGCACGGGTGTGTGTGTGTGTGTGTGTGTGAGAGAGAGAGAGAGAGAGAGAGAGAGTGTGTGTGTGTGTGTGTGTGTGTGTGTGTGTGTGTGCGCGTGCGCGTGCGTGCGTGGGAGTAGGCAGAGGCGGCTGCCGGGGTTCAGGGGCGGGTGAAGAGGCGGTCATCATATCAGGCAGGACGGCGCGGCTGGGACAGGCGCTTCGCCCGGGGAACCAGCATGTGCCAGCGGCCGGCTGCGGACATCGCGTAATCACCAATCAGCAGTCTACGCCTGCTGCATCGCGTGCCCTTCCTGCCACCACCAGGCTCGTTGTCCGTCGCCGGCGCTCCCACCCCTTCCCTGTGCCCCCCCCTGCAGCCCCGCGCCCGCCTCTGCGAACAGCGCAGCCCCCCAGGGCCGGGGCTGGGGGCTCCAAACAGCTCACCTGGGTGAACCCATCGAGCGCCGTCGCTAGCGGGGACCCGCCACCGCCCGCGCTCGGCCCGTTGTCGTAAAACTCAACCTGCGGCGGCGGCCGCGCGCCGGCGCCCAGCAGGCTGCCGCCGCCGGGCAGCAGCGCGAGGCTCGTGGCTGTCGAGCTTCCGACCGGCCGGATGTGGAATACGATCGGGTCCGGGCGCCGGCTGCCGCCGCGGCCGTCGAATTCGTCGGATCCGAAGATGTAGCTGAGGGACAGCTGGGAATTTGGGGGGGCGCTGGGCAGCACCTGGATGTCTAATTCCAGGACAGCTGCATCGTAGCTTCCCGGCGGGAAGCCGCTGTCCGGCCCCGCCGGCGCCCCGAACGCCGTCGACGCGCCGCCGCCGGCGTTCAAGTCCGCGGCCGCGGCCGCGGCGGCGCCGCTGCTGAGGACGACCGCGCCGGTCATGACCGCGCTGAGGGCGTTGGCCTGGGAGAAGGCGGCGAGGCCGAGCGCGCGGCAGGCGCCGCTGTAGCGGGCGGCGGTCAGCTGCACCTGGGGGTCCCCAGGAAGCTGCGCGGCAATCGCCGCAACCGCCGCGCCGTCAACGGCGTCGGGGTTGCCGGCGGCGCCGCCGCAGGTGTCGATCACCGCGGTCGCCGCGGGGCCGGGGATGCCAGCCGCGGCGCCGGACGGCCCCTGCTGCAGGCGCCGCCGCTCCTGCTCGCTGCTGCTGGTGCTGTTGCTGCTGATGCTGACATTTTCCTGGGCCCTATGCTGCTGTGCTCGGGGCAGGCGGCCCCAAAGGGACAGCTTTTGCCCGTGCTGCGGGGTGCTGTGTGCGGCAAGCGCAACCAGCGGCGCGAGCGCGCTGCTGTCGGCGCCGATTGCACCGGTCGTGCCGTCCGCGCTTGTGCTGGCTTCAAATTCGGAAATATCCGCGTCAACAAAGCCTGATGCGATTATGATTGGTGACAGCAGCAGGAGCTGCAGCACCAGCACCAGCAGCCCGGTCTTTGGGCTGGGCTGAGCTCTCATCTCCGAGCCCCCCTCGTCATTATTTACGTGCTACGACTGGGCATATGAGCTGCCCTCATCAGCGGTGGACACGCGCGCACTCGGGCTCGCGATGAGGGCGCGGGGACGGTTTCAAGGTCGGTTGGAGCGAACAGAGACGCTGCATACGCGTTAACGAGATAGGCACTCGAAGTGTTTACCAGCTAGAGCTTGGCTCCGTTGATCGTGATGCATCACGCCGATGTCCCCCCATGGCTAATGTCCGCCCTTCCTGACGTGTGCACACGTGCCGTACCGTGAACACCTCCGCCCCGCCCTGCCAGCCGGCCATGATGCTGTGTGTCAGCAGCCGTGTTGCGTGCTAATTACACGCACAGGTCGCTTTCCCGTCATACGTGGGTACCTGGGCGCAGCCAAGGACTCGCTCCGCGCCTTCAACCCCTGAGGACTCGCCCCGTCGGGGAACGCATCGCAGAACGGCGCATCAGCGCCGCGGCCCCGCCGCCGCAGGCGCCGCGGCCTAGCTGCGCCGCGCCTTCAAGACGGCGTCCAAAATGGCCTCCAGGAACATGGCGGCCCCAACAGTGAAGATCAGCGCCGACAGCGCTACGCGCGCCGCGCGCCGCCACTGCGAGACGCTTGCGCCGCCCTCGGCTGCCTCCCCCTCTGCAGAGCCTCCCGCGGGCGGCTGCGGCCACTGCTCCCCCACAGCCCCCAGGCCACCCACGCCCCGCGGTCCCTGAGGGCTACCCGCCAGCCCCTGCCCCTCGGCTTCACCCCACTCCCCCTCGCTGCCGCCGCCGCCGCGCCGCCGGCCCCGCGCCTTCCGGCCCGCCCCGCCGCCGCGCCATGGCGCGGCCGCCGCGGCGGACCGCTCTGCGGCTACGATCAGCAGCGCGGGCACGAGCCACGCCTGCGTCGTCGTCGCAGTCGCGCCCACGAGCGAGAGCGCGTCCCAGATCGTCGGCAGAAAAACAGCCGTCACATAGACTGAGAACTCGAGCCCGAGGGTCATCGGAAGCCAGCGCGGCGCAAGGGCGTCGTGGCTGCCTAAGAGTACCTCCGCCAGCACGTGGCGTGCCTGCGGGTATGCGTACGCACATGCATATGCGTGAGAGAGAGAGAGAGAGAGTGTGTGTGTGTGTGTGTGTGTGTGTGTGTGTGTGTGTGAGCAAAAGTGCGCGTGCATGCGAGCGCGTGCACGATGGAGTTTGCGTGTCCCTGGGTGAGCTTGGTACGAGCATGCATGCACTCATGCATAATTTCGTGTCCACCAGAAGGCAGGATCAGAGCAAGGCCATTACAACCGCGCGCAACGCGGCGGGCTGGATGCATCAGCTCCTTTGCGGCGAACGCTGCGATGCGGCGGCGCCGGCAGTGGCAAGTCTTGTTCTCACCGGGAACAGTAGCAGCACGAATGACCCAGTGAGTGACAGAAGGTAGCCAATCCTCACAGTCAGCGCCGCCGCGTGAGCGGGCGCGACGCCGCCGAGCAGCGGCGCCATGCGGACGACGCTGATGTCAGCGAGGACGTCATCGTGCAGGGAGGCCCCAAAAACGAGGCACGAGCAGCTGCCGTTTGCGGGTGTTGGGGAGGGGGACCGGCGTGGAAGAAAAGAAGCACGGAGATACGGCAGGTGTTACGGGAAGGGAGGGATGTGCCGTGCAGGTGCGCATGCGAAGGCGCAAGGCAAACAAGGTGTCTGGCAGGGGCAGGTGCTGGGGTGGTCGCTTCGGGCGTTTCAGAGGGAACGGGCGCGCAGCAAACACAGGATTTTCCAGAGGCAACCGCTTGGAGGATGAGGGATGAAACAGACGCTTTGAAGACAGCGCACAGTGTGAGGCCGGGTAGAGCAAGCAAACAGGGGAGACTGGCAGGACAGGGCAGGCGGCGGCGGCAGGTCGGGGGGTCCGCCGGCGCGGTGGCCGCGCCGCTCACATGGCGATGACGTAATATAGGATGCCCGCGACGCTCAGAGACGTCGCCACCATCTTCTGGGCGCGCGCCGTGCTGTATGGCCGCAGGGACGGCAGCAGGGGGAACAGAGACTGGCAAGGAAAACGTGGAGCGGCGGGCCGACGGCGCGCAGGGGGTGACGTGAGGGTCGGAGGGCCGTCGGCGCACGCGGAAGGCGGCCGGCAGGACGCGCCCGCAGCAGAGCGCGCCCTCAACGGATGCAGGGAGGGCAGCCAGGGAAGGGGGTGTCGGGGCGCGTGCGGGGGTGTGCAACGCGTCTGCCGGCGGCTGCCACGCCCGGCCTGGCCTGGTGGCCCGTGCGGCGCCCTCTCACCTGGTGGCCTGTTTTCAGGTCGAAATCGGTGCGGAACGACAGTTTAGTAGGGGAAGGGCGCAGAGGGGTGGCGGATTGCATTGTGTGTTTTGGCGAGTCCAGGGTTTAAGCGGGCGCGGGTGTCGGGGTGACACCCTCCCTCCCCAAGACAGCGAAAGCCGAGAAGCAGGCATCCCACTCTGACAGCCCCTATGCACTGGCGAGCTGCACTGCTGCTGGTGCCCTCAAACAGCTGGATGCCAGGCGCCCATCCCCGAGGTTGCATGGCGGGGGTGGGCAATCCAGGATACCCACACGCGAAACAGTTGAGGATGATGGGCACAGTCGACGCCAGGCACAGCGCCGCCCCTGCAAAGGCATCGGCACGGCGCACAGGGGCTCGCAATCAAGAGAGGGCGTGGCAAATAGGGAGCATGGGCGGCACTCAAGATTCTGTAATGTCCCCTCGATAGCGCCAGCTGGCGGAAATCCCCTCCGGGAATTTCAGCCCCCGCGCCCCGCCTCACCCAGCGCCCCGCCGCGCGCCGCCACCAGCCCTTTCCAGTGCGGCCACAGCGGCAGCGGCTGCGCCTCGCCGCTGGCGCGCGCCGCCGCGGCCAGGGTGACCATCAGGATGGCGAGGACACCGTTTGACCCGACGCCGACAATGTTGACTGCCGCAAGACCATCCATGCTCCGCAGGCTGCGCATGGATGGCGGCAAAATGATGTAGATTTATTGCACCAACAAGCAACTTCGCAATTGCAGGATGTAGGTAAGAATTCAGTGGGTGACGGGCAGGGTAGACAGCTGCCTGGTGCAGCGGCCGCAACAGCAGTATGCACGACTGGCCTGAAAAGAAGCTGGAAGCTTTGCAACGTGCACAATCCTTTTGTATACAGCCGCCAGCGTGACAGCGGCGCAGCTGTCCCCCTCCCGTTTGGATACACACACCTGCCGAGCGGCAGCAGCACGCACAGGCTCAGCACGCCCAGCACGAGCGGCCGCGACGCCGCGGGGCCGCTGGCGAGGCCGGTGAGCTCCCTGATCAGGCCGTGGAATTCTGGGGGTTCTCCGATAAGGATGTCGCCAATCACCACGAGGAACACGACCTGCATGACCCAGCACCTGCAGGCCCGGGGAGGGGGCCCGCGCGGAGACGGCGGGAAGCATGGGCGGGCAGGCGGGCGGCGGCGCGAGGGAGGCTGCTGGGGCCGCGCGTGGCAGCGGGGTGCTTAGGTCGGGGTGCTCCAAACCGCGAGCTGCGTCAGCTCAGTCAGGTGCGCTCCCTCCCTGTCCCTCGACACCCCTCCCTGCCCGCAGCGGCCGCGCCGCCGCTGCCGCTGCCGCCGCTGCGCCGCCGCGGACCCCGGCCCCTCACGTGACGAAGACGCTGAGCTGGAGGCACCCCTCCGCGCGCGCCCCCAGGGTGCGGTTGACGAGGGCCGCATAGGACTTGGTTCCTAAAGCGTCGGAGCCCGCTATGAGGCCGCGCGCGAGCGTGAAATAAGTGAGGAGTCCAATGGCCAGGATGAGTAATGAGCCTGGCACGAGTCCGAGGAGGTACATCGCCTGTACAGGTGCGCCAGGGAGGGGTTGACAAAACTCAGACGATTCGTGGGTCACACAGATTTGCGTGGACATGAGAGGGATGGAGTGTGTGTGTGCAAGCACGTGTGTGTGTGTGTGTGTGTGTGCCCTTGTGCCCGTGCATGTATGTATGTGTGCACATGTGTCTGTACATGTGTATGAGTGTGTTGCATTTTTGTGAGGGCGTGTTGTTCTTGCAGGCATTTTGGCGGTTGGGCGAGTCAGTGACGCCCTGATGCCTGCCGCAGCACCCCGAGAAGTGTGCAGCCGCTGCCGGCATGACCACTATGCCGCTGTCACAACTTGGACTTCAGATGCGGCCATCGCTCAAACCCTCGGGACACGCAGCCCACCTTTGGCATCGCCATCATGCCAGCGCCAAGAATAACCTGCGCAAGCCCACGCGCACGCACTCACGGTTGTCAGTTGCAAAAGCAGGTGCATGGACACGTGTATTGGAGAGTCAAACCGGTTTCGAGCCGTGGGGCCGAGAGCTGGGAGGAGGCTAGCAGTGCATGCACCACGTGCCCGCCCTTGCAAGTGGGGGTCCCAGGCGCATGGAGGGTAGGCCCTGGGGGCCAACGAGTGCGACCAGCGTGGACGACTCGGCGAGCTGCATGCATTTGATCACTTGCAGTTGCGTTGAGCCCGCCACCTGAGGGCTTGGGGTACCATGGATTGTCACCCATTAGTCACATAATAAGCACCTTTGAGAGATTGAACACGACCACGCCAAACGTGTCCCGCCGGCCGTCTGGCGTCGCCCCCTCCGCGCCGCTCCCGCCGCCGCCGCCGCCGCCGCGTCGCTGGCCTGCGCCCTCCTCCTCCTCTATCACAACTGAAACACGCGGGCTGCGGCCCGGGGGCGCGGCATCCTCGATGCCGTCGTCCGCCGCCGCCGCGGGCGTGACTGGGCTGATGCGCGGGAGCAGCGGGTCCCGCAGCATCGCGGGGCTGGCCCCCCACAGCCTGCCAGCCGAGGATTCCGCCTGGCCAAGTGCTCGGCGCTCAGGGTTCTGAGCTGCTGTCCTTCAGTCCTATGCGTTGCAGGCTGCGTGCGGCGCGCGGCGGAGGCTGCGGGCGTGGCGGCGCAGCAGCGCAGGGGGGACGCGCACATTGCAATGGGGTTGCGCGGCCTGCGCGAGGCAACACGACTGTGCGCCAAAGCGCGCATCAAAACCAGAGGCAGCAGCACACTCAAACGAGCCCCGCTGCGTTGCATGCAGTTGCATGTGAACCAATGTGCCATGGCAGAGCGGTGGGCTGATGCTGCTGTTCACCCAGCAGGCGCGTGCACCTTGCTGTTGATGAAAAGGCGCGCGTCGTCAGCACGCACTGCCCGCTCGAGTGCGGCGGCCGTGCACGGGGGCCGTCCAGCTCTGCAGATGTTGGCCTGTTGTATGATTTGAGTAGCACTTGTATCGGATTGCGTATGCCTAAGCAGCTGGGTCCCCGCTCGCAGAGGGGCTGTGGACCCGATCAGTGACTCGGTTGGGTTGGCCAACCAGCTTGGGGATACCTATGATCGGCTGAGATACAAGGGCAAAAGCTTGAGACTTTACCACTCTCGCTTTCGCAGGAGGGCAGGTAGGAAAGAGAACTTGGGAGCTACCTGGCCGCTTCTCACCTGACTTGCAATCCCTTAATATCCGACTTTCAAAGCCCGATATGGCTGCAAATTCGGTAAATTATTATTCTTGTGGTCGTTATCTGCAGCTTTCACCGTTCTTGGGGCTAGAGAAGTGGAGACCAGGGCGCAACGAGCAACTAGGCCCAGTGGGTGTGATGGCATGGCTCCCCGTCAGTCTCATTTCAAAGCTGACACCGACTCCTTCCAATGCATGAGACGGATACACCACAACGTATCAAATGTGGCCGCAAGCCGTTTGAGCATTGAATGAACCCACCTCCCATGTCACATGGCACATCGCAATGCCATGTGCCATATGACATGGGAGGTGGGTTTATTCAATGCTCGACCCGCCCATACACGCTAGCGGGGCCAGGTTTGCGAGGCCCGCCGTCACACACAAACACACACACACACACACACAATCACACACTCACACACACACACACACGCACACATACACACACACACTGCAATATCAATGATGCCTCGTGCTCTAGCTGCAGCACTTCAGCGCCTGCGCGCTTGGACGGCAGCGGCGCCCACATTCAGATTTACCTCGCCGCATGACGCGTGAGGGCAAGCCTACACCCGCCTCGCTGCCGGCGAGTACCTCAGGTGCAGGCAAGCTGCGTGGGAGCTCTCTTTCGCAATGTGGTGCGCTGCCGTTGACGCCGCCGCAATCAACTACTCTCTCGGCAGTTGCCCCCTGCCCGCATGCAAGTCGAAAATCGCGGTAGCGCACACATGGCCCATGCGCGGGTGTGGATTTCTGCGCCACATGCATATCAAGAATGTGCATATGTAGCAGCAGCACTGCTGCAGCCTTATGACAAGGCTCAACAATGCGCAGCCTGCAGAGCGACTCGTCACCTACGTTGCTGGGATCCTAAGCCGCCGCGCTGATGGCGGCGCCAACAATCTGCACGCGAGCTGAGGGGCTTGTTGAAGGGTTTGCGAGCTCCATACCGCGCGTGCACCAGCTGAGGACGCGTCCGATTACCCCGTGCTTCCCGGCTGCTGTCACACCACGAAGCACCCCGCACAACTGCGCGAATAACGCTCCTGATCGCTCGCACAGCAATTGTACACCAAACAAACAATAGATTCGACACTCCCGCAGCACTCAGACGCCCCATACACAGCAGCCATGCTGAGCCAGAGCATGTCCACCCGCACCGTGGCCAGGACCGCCAGCCGGCGGTCCGTGGTGGCCCGCGCCGCTGCCACCGGTACCAAGGATAAGATCAAGATCGGTATCAACGGTGAGGACCCCACGCGGGAGCCGACAGATCATCCCCGCCTCACGCGGGCGACCTTTCTGGTGGCACGCTCGGCTCCGCGCTTTTGACGACGAGCTCTCAGCGGCTTCGGCGCTCATCTTGCGCCCACTGTACATCAACGGCAGCCGCTGGCACGCAGTCCAGACATCCCGCAACACCCGTGCAACAACCCTGCGACGCCCTAGGAGCCCCTGGTCGCATGAAAGTCCTAGCATCATCCGGGGGTCATCATACACACCTAGGGCCCGTGATCCGCCGCCCTCACCACGAAACCGTCGCGCTGACGTCGCCGCGCTGACGCTGCCGCCGCCGCTGCCCCCTGCCGCGCGCTCGCCCCTCCCTCCGCCGCGCCCGCAGGCTTCGGCCGCATCGGCCGCCTGGTGCTGCGCACCACCCTCGACCGCGACGATGTCGAGGTCGTTGCGATTAACGACCCCTTCATCGAGGGGGAGTACATGGCATACATGTTCAAGTACGACTCGGTGCACGGCCGCTGGAACGGCGACGTGGAGGGCGACAAGAGCGGCGTCGTCATCGGCGGGCACAAGATCACCACCTTCACCGAGAAGTGAGCGCGGGGCCTGGGATCACGGCGCTCGGTGGCCTTGACGGGCTGGGGGCGGGGCGCCTGGCGTGCGCCTGACGGAGCGCTGGATCTGGTGACAGACCGGAGACGCGTGCGCCGACGCGCGGGCGGGCTCGGGCGGGGAGATGCCTTATTTCCAGAAGGCAGCAGTACGCCGCGGGTCTCCTCACTGAGAGCACAACCCCCGTACTAAGGGCCCTGGCGGGGCTAACGCCAGAAGCGGTACACGCCTTATCGGCCACTCTGCCCCACAGCACCATCTGACCCTGCCCCTGTGCGTCCTCGCCACCTGCCTGCCCTACAGGGATCCCGAGGCCATCAAGTGGGGTGAGGTTGGGGCTGACTACGTGGTCGAGGCCACCGGCGTCTTCACCACCGTTGACAAGGTGCGGCCCTAGCCCTGGGGCCCCATGGGGGTCACACGCACGAACCATCCAAAACCCCCGCTTCCGGCAAGCTCCACAACGCCTCCCACCGCTTCGGCTCGCATCCCCTGGTCTGGGCCGGGCTGGCGAGGGAGTGCAGCGGCGGCCGCCCGCGCGGCGAGTTGGCAAGCCGTGCTCCGCAACCTACCTGGAAACACCCCGTCAACCCCTGGCGCTGTCAGAGCAAGTCACTGCGATCCGCACACCAACCTCGCGGCCGGCGGCCCTTGCAGCCCACCACCACGGTGGATGCCTTGAACACGCAACTGCCCCCCCCCCCCCGCGCCCCAGGCCTCTGCCCACATCAAGGGCGGCGCCAAGAAGGTCATCATCAGCGCCCCCAGCGCCGACGCCCCCATGTTTGTGATGGGCGTCAACCAGGAGAAGTACGACCCCGCCACCATGGACGTCGTCTCCAACGCCTCCTGCACCACCAACTGCCTCGCGCCCCTCGCCAAGGTGCGGCAGCCCCCACCCCAAAGGCCTTGTGTTGCGCAGCTGCGTCACGCACAGTGGTTGCAACCCCCCTTTTTGCAGCAAAGACAAGAACAGCGACCAGCAGTGGTGGTGCAGGCAAGATGCAGGGCTTGACGCCGCCCCCACCCGGTCGTCTGTGCTGACATCAGCGTGACGTCACCGTTTCAACCCCTCAACCCCGCAGGTCGTGAACGACAAGTTCGGCATCCAGTCCGGCCTCATGACCACGGTCCACGCGACCACCGCCACCCAGAAGACCGTCGACGGCCCCTCCAAGAAGGACTGGCGCGGCGGCCGCGGCGCCAACGGCAACATCATCCCCAGCTCCACCGGCGCGGCCAAGGCCGTGGGCAAGGTCATCCCCGAGCTGAACGGCAAGCTGACCGGCATGGCCTTCCGCGTGCCCACCCAGGTGGGGGGCGACGCGTGGTTTTCAGGCGTCGGGCGGGGCCTGCTCGCGTGGGGGTTTGCGGGGCTGCGTGTCGCTCGGTCGGCGTGCGCTTTTGAGAGGGCCCGGCGTCCCAGTGAGTGCAGGGGACAGGCTGCGTGCGACGCGATTATGTGCGACCTTGACCTGGCTCCAGAATCACATCGCACGCAACCAGCCCTTAGCGATTATGCGTGATTTCACTTGGCCTTGAGTCTTAATGGCTGGGTGACTTGTTTGGATAACGGTTCTTGGAAACGGTTTTTGTAGCGATGATCTGGATGCTTGTGTCGGCAGATTTGCTTCACAATCTGCTGTTACCCTACCTGGAGGCACCCGCAGCCACCCTACCCGGGGTCAGCGACCGCTCCACCCAACGTGCTGACTGCA